CTAAGAAGTATTGGTAATATCCGACATCTTATTACCAAAGACGTAACAAAGACACTAGTCCAACAACTTGTGATGTCCCGCATTGACTACAGCAACAGTCTGTTGTATGGTTTGAGTCAGGATCTGCTGAACAAACTCCAGAAGGTACAAAATAGGGCAGCTCGTATTGTGAGTCGTGCACCAAAAAGATGCCACATAACACCGGTATTGATGTCCCTACACTGGCTACCAATAGAAGCCCGGATCCACTTCAAGATCTTGTGTTTTGCCTACCACTGTTTGAATGGTACAGCACCGAGCTATCTATCAGAACTGATCTCACCATACCAGCCTTCACGACGTCTAAGGTCTGAAAACCAATGCCTACTTGCAGTACCAAACTCAAGACTAAAATCCTACGGCAACAGATCGTTTCAAGTAGCAGCACCTCAGTTATGGAACCCACTACCTCAGAACATTAAAGAATCCCCCACCCTTGAGACATTCAAAACCAACCAAAAAACCTTTCTCTTTAGAAAGTTCTATCCCCACGAACTATCTCCTCCCGTGAACTTCTCATCTGTGACTATTGTAGCGCCTTGAGAGCATGCACCTCTGTGGATGGAACCCAGCGGCAATATAAATCGCCTGCCTAGCCAGAAGAGCAAAGACATTATTATTATTATTCTTATTTATACATAGGAGAAACGTGCCGCCCCCTAAACCTACGAATCAAGGAACATCAGACATCTGTAAAGAAAAAAGACTCCAAATCAGCCATTTCCGACCACATCCAAGCCCACCCGAACCATACCATGCTTTGGAACAACATTAGCATCCTAGAAGCCAACCGGTCAGATTACAAGATAAGAAAACTCTTAGATCAAGGTTATTACACCCCCATGGCTTACGATCAACTAATCAAGCCTAATCAAGAATAACCAACCCTTTGTCTACTGGCTTCAATCATTCCTATCACAACAAGTCTCATGTCAACAAACCGTACATCAACCTCTTCTCTTGTATAAACCAATACCCGCCATGTATATATTTCTCCTTGTGCAAATAGTGTGTATCATTGGCTTGATAACGGTGTTAGGATCTACACCGAAACGTCGCAACTACTACTGCAACAAAGAAGTTGTCTATCCATAAAAAGTGTTCCACTTCATCATAGCAGCTTCTAAATGCCGCTTAAGGTACTAATACATATGTGATAACAACGCGTTTTTTCAACACACATTCAATACTAGGGCTGGTCGCGTACCGATCCGACGAATTTCTAATTTCAGAGTAGTAAAATGCATTCGACGGATCGGCACTGTGATCTTACCTATGAATTAGTTATCAAAACATTGCCTACTCATATGATACAATGAGAAATTGATGCATTAAATGTATGTTTGGACTCTCTATATTTCTATCTTTTGTACAAAATTGAAATTGATGCATTAAATAAAGTGCATTCATAAGGAGAAATATAAAGTTCGTGATGTTAAACTTCTCGAGTAGTAATTTAGACTTGGTCATAAACCTGGGAGTATAATATTGTAAGGTATACAAAGTCACACGGTAGGGATTAAAATTAGGTGTTTCTTATCTCAAATATCTTTGTTATAAATATTGCTTAACATAAGGTAAGTTTTTCATGTTGGTTGGCTAGTGGTCCTACAAACTTAACAAACAAATGGGTGCTTTGTATAATATTCTGGTATATACTTTTGTCTGCCCTCCTCATACCTAGGACATACAAGGAGGACATGGAACTCGTCTTCATCTGTGTTTCTACAGAACGGGCAGAGCGATGCTTCAGGGTCAGGGTTTTTAGCCCAATACAAGCCGTCCCCTTAATTAATGAACTTAGACTCTCCCAGTGTGTTAACACATTCTGAAATTCGACCGATTAGCACAGAACCACTCATTATTCGACGGATCGGCACTGCTGGCTGTTCAAAATTCGACGGATTAGGCCGTAATCCTGGTGTATTCCCATATTGCCTGCAGTTCCAAACTGCCTATAGGTTAAAACAACATGATAGGGTCCAGTGATCAGGAAGTGAATACACCGCTCTGACCTGTTCTACCCCTGCTAAAATGAACTTGACCAGTTACTTGGTTAATGAACTGACCTGTTCTATGGTGTCTTCCCACTCTGCCGACAGAAGTTTAAAAAATGACAAGTGTTGGTTGGTTTATTCATTCTGAGAATTCTCTGTCTTTACATGGAGACGTGGATATATCACCCAAAACTGTGTTCCACAGTAGATATCGCTGCACTGCAAATCTAATGGCAGTACTGTGTTCAGAGATGTACATTTTTCATGGAAAACTATTGAAGAGTGATTTTTGATGTTAAAAAAACCCTCACCCTCGTGTCTTCTGATATCAAATATATCAACACTCGTTGTTACTTTATCAACACGTGGTGATATATTTGATATCAAAAGACACTCGGGTGAGATTCTCTATATGTCATGAAACACTGATCAGTTTTACAGTCTTTTACTGGTTTCACAATTACGCACAACTGACAAAGATGTCCATTTCGTTGCCATGGACTCCGATATGTGACGGGACCCAGATAAAATATATTTGAATATTTTTGTTTTGCTGGTATAGTATTCTCCTATATATGGCATGTATTAGATCTTATGGTCTTTTTGTTGTAGAGTAATTTATGAGAGCCTGTATGGAGCTTAAGGAATCCGTAAAAATGCAGATGGTAGTGTTTGTTTGGTCAGATGTTGTTCGCAAGGCCTGAACTATGGCTGCGAGTTCTGCTGTGAAGATACTGAAGTTTGCCGGGAGATTATAGGATTGTTTAACGCTTTTTGGGGGGTATGTAGATACCAAAACCAGTAGTACTCTTCTGATTTGAAGTACATTCTAACAAATTCCAAATTACTTAATCCACTAAATATCTCATTCATACAAAATTATACCAAACAAATATATACCTTACCTTTTATATATTTATCATTATTCACTTAATACATATGTTTTTAAACATGGGTTGGTTAAAAATACAATAACAATAACCATTTACTACACCACATCTATATTAAATTCAAAATCTCTAATACTCTCTACCTATATCATATTTCTTTTTACCTTTATAATTCGGCATCCGATTCAACTTTCCCTTAATACTCAGTTGTTGAGGGTTTTTTGTGTGGTAGTAACACCACTCTTTCAAAATTTCTATTTTTTGTCCCCCCCTTTTTTTGTATAAGTCTACTACCCCGTCGCCGAAATACCTTAGTTGTGCGTGCGACATTAAATAAAGCAAATAACTACTACTACCTTACTCCAAACGACACACTCCTTCTTCATTGATAATTGGGCTGTTCCATTATTCCACAGGGCAAAAAATCATTTCCCACGCTGCCTTCAATATTTTGGGGGGCAGTTTGGGATGTTGGCAGTTTGGAACTGTAGGCAGTATGGGACCTAATCGTGATCCTAGGGCTGTGTATTGGCAAATAAATTGTATTGCAATATATTGCGATTCAGGTTCCCGTATTGCGATATGTATTGCAATATACTGGGAACTTAAGTGTTTGACAGTGAGTGACACTAATTGTGCATGTCAATCCTATTTTCTACATAATGAGTCCCTAAACATGGTTCTGATAACAGCAATCTCCAAATTAGGTTGCATAGTCAGGGATTCTATTTGCTTTCTTATACAATTTATAGTATTACATTATGTCGTTTTGTCATTGAATAACCAAGGAAAACATTTGTTGTGAATGAAAGTATGTGTAGATTTTAATTCAAACCATAAAATAATCACAACATACATTAGTGGAAGTCGCGGTGGCTTAGCGGGTTAGGCAGATGACTTTGTGTGCTGGCGATTAGGTGCCTGACTCTGAGGGTGTGGGTTCGAACCCCGGATATTACTCAACCCAACTAAAAATACTAGAATCTGTACTTTACTAAGAAAGTGTAGTCCCAAATATAACATGTTACATTTGGCAACTTTCCAAATGGCATTGTGTTATCATTGATATATGTTCTTTATCCAATATACCGGTTCTCCGAAAAAATATTGCAATACGTGTATATTAAAACACTTTTCAAAATATTTACGTTTGGCTTTGGATATTATTGATCAAGGACACCTGTGTGAAGGTGAGGTACTAGTATCGTATTTAAATTTCAAATCTCGAAGTGTGATTGGATACTATCAGCGATGCCTTGCGTGAGATGGTTAGATTAGGTTCCATTTGGTCGCTACCATGCACCTGATGCTTGGAATTTGCAACGTAATACATTTTACACGTTATCCTTGACCTTAATCATTCTGGACGATTTCTTTAGTTTCCTCCGAAACGGACTTCATTTGGGCTGTGGGTGAGTGAGTTAACTGTCGCATCAGTCACATTTCAGCCATATAACGACGAGACCATATTCACAGACACACATATCCACTTAAACTCAAAAGCAGGTTTCCATGTACACATTTTAACATCACAATATCGCAGTGAAAATGATATGAACGAATGACTGATAAACAGTGATGGCACCGGGTGTGAGTGAGTGAGTTTAATTTTACGCCGCTTCAAGCAATATTCCAGCAATATCACGGCGGGGGCCACCAGAAATGGGCTTCACACATTGTACCCATGTGTGGAATCGAACCCAGCTTTTCAGCGTGACGAGCGAACGCTTTAATCACTTGACTACCCCACCGCCCCTGTCACCGGGTGTCCCCCAAAGGGGTCAGCATGTCCTTTCTTGTAGAACCAGTCTCTCACATAATTTGCATGAAAATGTAAAAGTTTGGTCCTAGACGCAGAGTCTGACGCCTAAGAGAAGATGGCTTGTAAACAAACCAGAACATCGAATGGCACTGTGACGCAGCTGCTGGTTTTGCCCAAACTAAAAACGATATGTAAGTCATTATTTACGTCAGCTGTGTACAAGTGCAGAAATTCTGCTGGTAATAAGTAAAGTAGTATATTCGTTCTGCAACATTATGTCAGGCTTTAAATGAAGAACAATTGCTTTGAATATAAGAGCCAACGTTCAATCGATCGTTTATTCATTGTATACATTGATACAAACTAAGACATTATAACTGGATGTTGCCCTCGCATACCCAAACAGCGTAACCTGCTGCTATTTGGAGATACGTCATATTGGGGTAGAACCTTACGTTGGCGGAACATGTGACGTTGTCGCCAGTCATTGTAGGGTGTGACGTCACAGTTAATTCTACCGTGTACAGTGCATAGACTCTGCACCATAGACTAAAATCAAGCCTCCTTAACTCGAAGTCCAAGGGAACAAATCGGGTTCTCCGTAAATCAAGACAATCGATGTGTCGACAGCAGCTTCAACGCCACTCAGGGATATTGGTATATCGGTCATGCTGTAGTAATCGAGTTTAAGATGTTCGAGTTAAACAGGTTTAATTTCTTGTGTATTTATTCCCGATTAAACAGTTGTTTCAGTGGCTCTTCTAGTCTTGAAATTTCATTTCAAATGAAAAACACAATCCAATAATTCAGTGAAGTAGTGCTTTTTGTAAATCTCGAGAGCGTTAAATATAATGTTTACTTAAAGAATCGTGCGAAAAGGATACCAAATCGGTCTAAACTCCCACCTACCAGGGATGTGTGCCATATCACATTAGGATACCATACGAAAATGTTTATAACGCACTTTGTTAATGCAAGTTCGGGTTGATCATGTAAACGTACCCTGCAATGGATCTGCTAGCCAAACTTGTGCTCAAGATCCAAGCATGGGTACTTCCGCACGTGTTACTTATATCCTTGCTTATCTCGTGCAGGTATAAATGTAGAAACACAAGGTGAAGGTTATACAAATGAAGTATATAACACAGGTGGTTGACTACGTGAGTTAGGTATAACATTTAACCGTCTGGCCTTTATGTTCTGAACACGACATCTGATCACGTGACTTCTTGTCGCCAAATGTATAACAGGTTTGTTTAAGAAGATCATGTTCATCTACAGTTTGTAAACTGCCTAAGATTTCGTGACGCATTTTTCTGGAAAAACTTGCGGAAAACATGTTCACCTCTAGTATGCACAAAATTATTACAAATGGATGACATCCTTGGGACCACTGATTATAACCTAAGTTCCAGGAGGACACACTTCAGCTTGTACATTGTCCTCCTTCAAGATGGCTGATGTGTAAACACATCCTCCCTGCTTCCGGTCACTTCGTGGCTACTTCCGGTCACTTAGTGGTTAACCTGCTGCTGTTGTTGCTCCATCTCGCACTCAGACATGTATATATCAATGGGTTTTCTGGGAACCTCCGGCACAAGTTGCCTCTTCTTGTGTTCCTTGTAGTTCTTCTTGGAGACCAGCTTGTCGTTGATGTATAGGTAATTGACCATTGGCTTGCCACACTTATCCACGTCAACATCACTGAAGATATAGAAACTACCCAGACAGTTCTCCCACCAGATGTGTACGTCGTACCCACAGTCCTTAATCAACATCTGTAACAAAGTGATACACCATATTCACAACATATAATGTACATCCATTAATATATATCATATAGTGATATCCACAACATATACTGACAGTGTGTATTCATTAATATATATTATATCCACAACGTATACTGACGGTGTGTATTCATTAATATATATTATATCCACAACATATACTGACAGTGTGTATTCATTGATATATATTATATCCACAACATATACTGACAGTGTGTATTCATTAATATATATTATATCCACAATATATAATGTATTTTCATTAATATATCATATACACAACACATACTGGATACTTATTAATATAAATAATATACACAATATATACTGGAAATTCATTAATAGATATTATATACACAACATATACTGGGTATTCATTTATATATCATATAAACAAACATATACTGGATATTCATTAATATATATCAGATACACAACATAAGCTTTTTTGAGAGGCATTTTAGAAGTTGTAAAAATAAAGGAAAAACAAGTTCTATGGATAGTCAACTTCTTTATTGTAATGAGTGCGACGTCTCGGTTGTATAAACTCAACCTCTAATCAGAGCCAATCACTCTGTACCTACCCTTCTCAAATCACTAATTAGATATCCTACGTACATCAACCTTGTCAATTGTATATACTCACTATGCAGCTATGTATATATTCTCCTTGTTTTAACTCTTTGTATCACTTGCTTGATAACGGTGTTAGTACCTACACTGAAACGTCATACTCATTGCAGAAGCTGACCATCCATAGAACTTGCTTTTCCATGACAGCATAAGCTGTATATTCAATACATCTAGCATATGCACAGCATATACACTATACACCACATACAACAAACATACACAAATAACTCGTATATAGTATTCCCAGAAAGAATTGAGAAAGTTGTTTCGGCAAATATCTAATACATGTATATAAACTATTGAAGTTTTACTTTATGAATATGTTGAGAGATGACTGTTGTACTAGTCCAGGAGGAGAATCTCAAAAGGAGCCTAGAAATAGGATTTCGTAGCCTCCCCAGTACTGATTTTGTGTGATACTATTTTCAGTTAGTATGATGTCTTGGGCTCATGAAAAGGCCTGTAATACTCTCAGATTGTGGTATCAGTTGTTTTTTACAGGCCATTATATGTGGTTGTGGTCTGGGGGCATTTTCGTCACATTTGGTTTGCTGCCCGACAACACCTCAAAGTTAATCATTAATAGTTTTACTACTATCAATCTGATCACTTTCATTTTGACTTCTGTGTACTGCTAAAGGATGTAGAAATTATTTGACATAATTTTGTTTTGTAAACAAAATCGAAATGGCCGCCATTTTGTTTTGTCGTGTTTTGCCTTCTCAGCACTTAAATCTACATAAAAATGTACACCGAATGTTTCCATTTACATCCAAAGTTGATACTTTTGATGTGTTTTGACACTTGTTTCTCCTAGAGTGATGGCTTGGGCACAAAACAAGTCATTTGGTTGGTCATATCGTGGTAATTTAATGTTTTACAGCTTATTCTTTGAGACAGGGGTATTTTAGCAATTCTCCGACTTTTCATGGAAATGAGTGAGGGTGATTTCTTTCATGGCAGATAACATTATTTTTGTTACTAAAACAAGATGTTTTTGTTTTCTCTTTACTTCTAGAGTGACGGCATATTATTGGGGATTTTTATATATTACCCAGAATTCAAAATGGCCGCCAAAATGGCCGCCATTGTAGTTTTTACTACATATACTTAGCGGAGGACTAAATTTGTGCTGATATGAAATCCAAACAAATCATTTGGTGTCTAATGTTAAATACAGTATAGGAATACAGCTAAATTTCAATGATAGGGTCAATCAAAGCTTCACACTCCTAAAATATTTGATGAAATAACATTATCCAAAAGTGTTTGAAAACTATGCTTCATGGCCGATAACTACGTATAACCTTTGGTTGTAGGCATTCAAATTGTTCTATCAGATAACTCTTAATCACTTTTGATACATCCATAAGCTTGCAAATTAACCCTCCTTTTCACTTTCTTTCATTTCATATGTTACATCATGTCACGATCGGACCTGTAGAGATCCGGGTTAGAATTGATCTTCAATAACCCATGCTTGTCGTAAGAGGCAACTAACGGGATCTGGTAACGTTGTCAGGCTCGCTGACTGGGTTGACACATGTCATCGTATCTCAATTGCACAGATTGATGTTCATGCTGTTGATCCCTGGGTTGTCTGGTCCAGACACGATTATTTACAGACTGCCGCCATATAGCTGGAATATTGCTGAATGCAGTGTAAAACTAAACTCACTCACTCACTCATGTCAGAATCGGAGTCATCTACTGGCAACAAGTCAAATGTGTTCGGGCAACAATCATCTGCCATACAAAAAGACATGCCTATGTGCACACTTTATCATTCTTTCTGCTGGCATGCTGACTTTTTGCATTTACACGATGTCAGTTCAACCAATCCACGGGGAGCAGGATCTCTCGACATCAGAATAGGATACGCTGACCATCACAAATGCTCCAACCATGGTCAACTGGTGAAGGAATGTCCATGATTGGTTGCAGTGACTGTTTCCAAACATGGACTTGGTAGTTTACTCGTTCAATGTGATGTTTTTGACTGTTGGATGTTGGTGGGAGGTTTTCATTTAATATCTTGTGTCATCTACAGACATCACTGGATTATTTGGTACATGCATAGAACTCACAAACTGGCCACAAGATATAATGAGTGTTTCTTGAACACAGTCTAGGTGTATTTTCAGTACTTTGTGGGACCTCCTTACCCTGCAATGCACGAATGGATGCGCCTAGGTTCACTACCGATCAAAGTTTGTAGGAAATCGCGTGACAGCGTATCCCAATATTTGACCACTTCTTTCTTCATATCCCAATATTTCTAAGACCTTTTTGGTTTATTCTGTCCTTCATTGGTCCCCAAACATTCTCAATAGTGTTAAGATCTGGGCTGTAACAGGGCCAGTCTAAAACTTGAACATTTTCGTCCGACAACCACTGTGCTTGCTGTGTGAATATATTATAAATTCTGTCCCCAAACCGTGTTGACATGCACATATGAATACTTTGACATTCTTTGAGCTAATTTCATTTAAACTGACGCAATTGGGTGTTTTATATAGAAGTCTTCATATATAATAAAATAATTTGGCTCATTATCCACACCATAACGGGGTTTTTTTATCCTCAGTGCACTTCACACCATGAGCCAGTAAAATGAAATACCATGTCAACAAATCCCAAACTGAATACGAAATCTAATCAAGGAATTCAGAAAAATTCAGCAAAACTGTTATTGAGGAATGCACCAACTCGCTATTAGTTACAGCAATCAATGTCATCTTACCGACACCCTGGAAATAACTCCAGTTGACAGAGAATGGATGCACTATCATCACTATAAAATGAATAAAGTGACACACTAGACGGAACATGTACTATGTTCACATATTTCGTGTTGGTGAAATTCAGTCTCAGTGTATGTGGAAGCCGACGGATCAGCCACCCGGCTCAGTAAAACAACTTACTATCCATATGGTGAAACATAACCAGTGTCACATATATCATATGTGAATCTGCACATATCGCTTTTGCCTAGCAATCATTGTTTCTGTATTTCGTTGTCTGTTACGTCATTAAACCGTCACACGTGTTGCCGTATTTTACTGCACAAATGTACATAAAAATACATAAAATGAATAAAATAGATAATAAAGAAATTATTACACTTGAGCAAAGTGTGTCATACGAATTTAGGAAACTCGTGCAAAATTATGCATACAAAACTTCACTTACTCGTGTAATAATCTCTATTTATCTCCAACACGCCTTACGCAAGCTAAACCATGACTGAGGTTACTTACTTCTGTCTGGACGGGTACTTTGTCAATGTACACACACATACTGTCTCGAGCTGGAAAACAACGATACACAGCTTTAGTTAGAGTCTGTTACATTACTTGTTTGTTGTTTAACGCCGCACTCAGCAATATTCCAGCTCTGTGGCGGCGGTCTGTAAATAATGGTGTCTGGATACCAGTGATGGACATCATAAGCATCAAGGCATGTGTGTCCCACATCAGCGAGTCTGACCACCCGATCCCCTTAGTCGCCTCTTTCGACAATCATGGGTTGCTGTAGACCAATTCTAACCCGGATCTTCACCGGTAGAGAAGTTTAGACATCACGTTACTCTGCTATAAACTGTAGGGATTCCTGTAAAAGTTTTGTTTTTCCAATACAAGAAACGAATCCGCTTTACTCCCGAAGACGAAGGTTGTTCATGCAGAAGAGATTGTGTCTCAAAGAAAAACTAACAAAGAAAGAAAGAAAGAATGAATAGAAGGAAAAGAAGAAGTGGTGTCATGGAAGGCTAAACCATCAGACCAGAAACATACAGATTTACACATCTAGTTGCAGGAATATTTAAGTTATATCTATATGCATTATATTATAAAATCTGTGGTTTTGAAATTAGACGAAAATAAAAAAGTTGTTTTTACAATCTATCATTAAAATATTGACACAGTTCACTATTTGTTACGAGGGAGGAGTGCAGAGAAAGGGACGGCCAGGTGTTCGAGAACGGATTGAGACGGCACAGCACAGGTTAATAAATAAATAACTTTGTCTGTGAACGTGCTTCACGAACACCTGGCTGTCCCTTTCTCTGCACTCCTCCCTCGTAACAAACAGTGAACTGTGTCAATATTTTAATGATAGTTTGTTAAACAACTTTTTTATTTTTAGGACAAAAATTCTGCAACAACCTCACAGAGTGGGTATGATGTTTTGATTATGATCAGCGTTTCATTGAGTATGTTATGTTTATTAGTTTTCGAGTTAGATTGAAATTCATCCGTCCGCTTTTGAGCCAAACGGACTGTAGAAGCTGGGATTCCGTTTGTGAATGTGATAAGCAACATCTCGTAGGGGGACTCAGAAATGGGGTCCACATATTGTACCCATGTTGTTTAGCGTGGCATGTCAACGCTTTAACCACAAGACTACCCCACCGCCCCTGGTGTGGGATAACGTTGGATTGGACACGTCACGAAGTTTAGTTTTAGTTTTCCGCCGCTAACAGCAATATTCCAGCTATATAGCGGCAGTCTGTAGATAACCGAGTCTGGACCAGACAATCGAGTGATCAACAGCATGAACATTGATCTATGCAGTTGGGATACGATGACGTGTAAGCCAAGTCAGCGAGCCTAACCACCCGATGCCGTTCGCCGCCCCCTCAAGCATGGGCTGTTGAAGAACAATTCTTCACAGGTTCAAACACGAAGACCCTGGCGAGTAAATAAGGAGACTGACTTCATGGATGCGTCGAAAATAGTTTTGAAACTTGTAAACTTCATTCACAACCAAAGAAACCTTTTAAGAAACAGTCCACCAACATTCTGTTTGCCATAATTATCCTAGTTCGACACAACGATATTTGACAACTTACACAAAATGCTGATACTTACAGAATTCTATGACCACTTTTTGTGGGCCAAATTCCACCTCCCAGGTGCACGTGATATAGGCTTGTCCTGACTTGTCCCGCACTCCCACTGGCCTGAAACAAAACAATATTGATGTCACTCACGTCACGCGTGTAGCTCGCGCCACTCACGTCACTCACTTTAACAAGCGTGTTGCTCATGTTACTTATGTTATTCGCGTCACTCACGTTACTAATGTTACTCATGTTCCTCCCGTCACTTATGTTACTTACGTTATTCGCGTCACTCACGTTACTCATGTTACTCATGTTCCTCCCGTCACTTATGTTACTTACGTTATTCGCGTCACTCACGTTACTCGTGTTACTCGTGTTCCTCACGTCACTCATGTTCCTCACGTCACTCATGTTCCTCACGTCACTCATGTTCCTCACGTCACTCGTGTTCCTCACTTCACTCATGTTACCCATGTCACTAATGTTACTCACGTCACTCCCCCATCCCCCATCCCCCACCAGAACACGTGATACATAGTCCCTATCCACCGCCAGTACGTCGTGGGGGCGGTGGGGTAGCCCAGTAGTTAAAGCGTTCGCTGGTCACGCCGAAGACCCGGGTTCAATTCCCCACACGTGTACTATGTGTAAAGCCTATTTCTGGTATCCCCCGCCGTAATATTGCTGCAATATTGCTAAAAGCGGCGTAAAACCATACTCACTCACTCACTCACTGAGTACGCTGTGACCAATACTAAGATCGATCGCAGGAAATAATCCTTGGCAACACAATTCATGAGACTACATTGCAAGCATGTGATCCAATTCCCATGGTGGATTCCATACAGAGCTTGAAATATTCACTGTGTGCGCCGTGCTCACTTCACCATCACGGCCTCAAAGCATCCTCGTCGTTATTGGCAACGTCAGTGTGTACAGCAACGATGACGACCCTCATCAATAGCCGTAATGTCCTTCTGGTCGAGGTGGAATCTGATAATCCTAATAATCGCCGAGTTTATTTCTACACTATACTGTGTACCGTGATTGAATGATAATCGATACACATTCAGTGTAGACTGAACATAGTTATAGACAAGTTATTTAGCTGATTGGCGCAGCTCCATTATAGCCATCGCTATTAAACGCGGACAATAGGGCAGCTCCGAGTGTTGGACAGCGTCGGACAGACTGCATGCTAAATGACAGATCAGGACACGCCGTGCGTGGCACTGATAAGGACAGGTAAAATGTAATGAATTAACTATAACTAATACCTAATGAAGATGCCAATAAATCAAATACCAATACCCGGAGATGATTGGTGAGCAATCTGCCCTAAATGTGAGTGGGAAACGGTGTAATGGACGGCATAAATCCGGTCTACTTGCCAGCAATATTGCTTGTGGGGCTCCCAGAATGTAATCTCACAAACACCTATTTCAGGTGCATCGATTAGACGCTCCGCCAAAAGTAGGTAATCCTTGTTTTCTATCTTGAAGCAAATAGCATAACATTTAGATGTAATTACGAGAACACTTGACGTGTTTCTGTTTTGTTTCTTGTTTTTTTCTTTAATTATATTTGTAATATTGTTGACATTTAGTCAGCAGCAATTTTTTTTGTTGTACATATGTTTTTATTATCAAAGAAGCATATCAATGTGACAAAGTAATGTTGTAAATCAATCGTCTACCAGAATGTAATTGTTTAAACACCAAACAGCACCAAACGTTTACTTAAAATATGAACTATCGTCATTTCATAAAAATCAGTCATGCTGTATATGTAACTTCGCCATAAAAGTCACCGGAATTCACGAAGCAGATGTTGCCCCCACTAACTGTGTAAGGATCCGCGAAAGAAAAGTTAGTATACAAGCTAGGATTGAGTTGTGACATTTTGAGAGATAAAATGACCATTCCAATAGGAACTGTAGTAAATATTCCTGAGAGCTGATTAATCTGTGAGTGAGTGAGTGAGTGACCAACACGTTTCCGTCACTTTAGATGTGAGATGGGCGTTATTGCAACCCAACAGAACTAATTTGCATATTTCGTTGACAAACATTGCGTTAAAAAAGAATTTCATTTTTCATTGCATATGAACATTATTCTGAAATCAGAAACAAACATTTGAACGAAAAGGACCATAAATGACACTCATGACATAAGTAAATGCCATCAATCTACTATAATGTTGATGATATACGGATCTTGTACATTTCATAAATAATTCAAGTAAATAACGCGTTCCTCCTCATGTGTAACTATTATCATTATCATGGGAGTATGTGTACCTACTTCCACTGACGCGAGCATATGTGGTGTAAGAGAAGACTTCATACATAATGCAACCATATGAAGATACCACATCAAACAGCACATGTCTTGTCAAGTTAAGAAAGAATATGTAAGAGTCTTACTTACTCACAACCCCTAGTGTACAGTACAGTACACAACCCTGTGCACTTATAGTATGACCAGAAATTATTGAGAATTTTAGGAATATGCTTAATTGGATTTCTGGTATAAACAACCTTGACCAGCTATCAAGTGCTTTGTTTCATTCAAGAGAGACAACTCCGTTAATCCTTTGTCATTAGTTTGTGAAGAGTTATCCCCCTTTGTTTACTTGCTAGCAGACGACATTTTCACTGATCCCCAGTATGGATGATTTAGAAAAGAGGAAGTTGTTTTTAGAGTATTATAACAAGGACATCAGATCAGCTAAAGTGATTTCAAGTAGAACAGGCATCCCTTTGTCCACTGTTTATCGCTTACCGATGACATGTGTCAACCAAGCCAGCGGGCCTGGCCATCCGATTCCATTAATCGCCTCTTACGACAAGCATGGGTTACTGAAGGTTCATTCTAACCAAGGCTTTCACGGGTGCAACGTGCAGTGAACTTGGACAAAGTACTCTGACTATCTGTCCCAGTCCACCCAGCTATGAATGGGTACCTCGTAAGGGTGAGGAGTACGTGAAACAGTGCGCCTAGTGGCAGCAAGATTTGTATACTCCCCAGAGAGTTGAGATTGATAATACGATGTGCCGTTGAGATTGACATCCAATGATCGAAAAAATACCAGCGCCTTGAGCATGCACCAGTTGCGCGGATATGTGCGCTATATAAATATACTATGATAATAGTAACTTCTTACATATGACGGGATATACATTCAAATCACTGAGGATGAACGTGTGCGTGAGTATGTCTCAGAGATTGTGTTAGTGTGTTCACTGCAGTATTACATAGTGTTGCATCACATGGGTGGAATAACTGTAGTATTACATGGTGTTGCATCACATGGGTGGAATAACTGTAGTATTACATGGTGTTGCATCACATGGGTGGAATAACTGTAGTATTACATAGTGTCGCATCACATATGTGGAATAACTATACTATTACATAGTGTCGCATCACATGGGTGGAATAACTGTAGTATTACATAGTGTCGCATCACATGGGTGGAATAACTGTAGTATTACATAGTGTCGCATCACATGGGTGGAATAACTGTAGTATTACATAGTGTTGCATCACATGGGTGGAATAACTGTAGTATTACATAGTGTCGCATCACATAGGTGGAATAACTGTAGTATTACATAGTGTCGCATCACATGGGTGGAATAACTGTAGTATTACATAGTGTCACATCACAAGGGTGGAATAACTGTAGTATTACATAGTGTCGCATCACATGGGTGGATTAACTGTAGTATTACATAGTGTTGCATCACATGGGTGGAATAACTGTAGTATTACATAGTGTCACATCACAAGGGTGGAATAACTGTAGTATTACATAGTGTTGCATCACATGGGTGGAATAACTGTAGTATTACATAGTGTTGCATCACATGGGTGGAATAACTGTAGTATTACATAGTGTCACATCACATGGGTGGAATAACTGTAGTATTACATAGTGTCACATCACAAGGGTGGAATAACTGTAGTATTACATAGTGTTGCATCACATGGGTGGAATAACTGTAGTATTACATAGTGTTGCATCACATGGGTGGAATAACTGTAGTATTACATAGTGTTGCATCACATGGGTGGAATAACTGTAGTATTACATAGTGTTGCATCACATATGTGGAATAACTGTAGTATTACATAGTGTCGCATCACATGGGTGGAATAACTGTAGTATTACATAGTGTCGCATCACATGGGTGGAATAACTGTAGTATTACATAGTGTTGCATCACATATGTGGAATAACTGTAGTATTACATAGTGTTGCATCACATATGTGGAATAACTGTAGTATTACATAGTGTCGCATCACATAGGTGGAATAACTGTAGTATTACATAGTGTCGCATCACATGGGTGGAATAACTGTAGTATTACATAGTGTCGCATCACATGGGTGGAATAACTGTAGTATTACATAGTGTCGCATCACATAGGTGGAATAACTGTAGTATTACATAGTGTCGCATCACATAGGTGGAATAACTGTAGTATTACATAGTGTAGCATCACATATGTGGAATAACTGTAGTATTACATAGTGTCGCATCACATGGGTGGAATAACTGTAGTATTACATAGTGTCACATCACATGGGTGGAATAACTGTAGTATTACATAGTGTTGCATCACATATGTGGAATAACTGTAGTATTACATAGTGTTGCATCACATGGGTGGAATAACTGTAGTATTACATAGTGTTGCATCACATATGTGGAATAACTATACTATTACATAGTGTCGCATCACATGGGTGGAATAACTGTAGTATTACATAGTGTCACATCACATATGTGGAATAACTATACTATTACATAGTGTCGCATCACAAGGGTGGAATAACTGTAGTTTTACATAGTGTCACATCACATGGGTGGAATAACTGCAGTATTACATAGTGTCGCATCACATGGGTGGAATAACTGTAGTATTACATAGTGTCGCATCACATATGTGGAATAACTATACTATTACATAGTGTCGCATCACATGGGTGGAATAACTGTAGTATTACATAGTGTCACATCACAAGGGTGGAATAACTGTAGGATTACATAGTGTCACATCACATGGGTGGAATAACTGTAGTATTACATAGTGTCGCATCACATGGGT